AAAAGATAATTTGCCTGGCCTGATTATTAACACTGATGCAGAAGTATATACAGTATATTACGATATAACGCTAAAGGGATACGTATTAAATGAAAATAACTTTATATGGAAGCATTGAATTTACTAATTTCCCCTCAAATTCATATCGGGCCTTAAAATCTAATATCATTCACAAAGAAGTAATAAATCAAAATTTTCATTTTATATTGGTTGCATTCTGGAAAAGAGATACTGAATTTGGAATTTCATCAGATCCTACGTACACTTTTTATCTTTTATAACCCTAAAGAGTTTTTATTGACCCCAACTAAACAATTAATGCATCAGTGTCAGTAATAGCACCATATTTACCACCCTAATACATTATAATGATTGAAATTCAAACTCTTATAGATGCATAGATCGAGCATTTTTTGAATCCACTGCGCAGCCTGCGCAGTGACCCGTGCATAAACAGATTTAATACGTAAATTTATTGCGTCCTAATTTGTATACATAGATACGTACGTACGTACGTACTTATTTCGCAGATAGGCATCTTATCGACAACTATTTCCACCCTTTCAAATCCGATAACTATTTTGCTGACTGTTATTTTCCCTACTGCTAGTGCTAGTCGATAAAATGGTTGTCGGAGAATTCTACCAGAAAAATCCTAATTAAAGCAGAAATCTTTTTTGATTTTTAACAGCTGCCCGATCTTGTTTAATACGTCAAAGTTGCATAAGGAAAGTTTTTTCCTACATTATGAATACAAAATAAAATTTCCAATTATATACAGTCGGTACTGTCTACATACATAATTGCATACCATCCGTCAAACTTTTTTTATAGACGGCATATGCATTTAAGTTATAAGAACCATTTTTGTGTTAATATGTAATTAAAAACCGAAATTTTTTACGCATTTAGAGAGGACCCGATAAAAAATGTTTGTTCCAAACAAAAATCGGATAATTTCAGAATGATTCCAAGAGGTTTTTCTTTTTTTTTTTTTTTAGAGGAGGATATATAATTAGCAGTATGCAAGTAGACAGTACCGGCTGTAATACATAGGAAATTTTACTTTGTATCTGCAACGCAAGCTCTCCTTATGCAAATCCGGGTTACACTCGATGCATTAAACAATGGAGGGCAGCTGTTAAAAATCGACGAAGACCTCTGCTCCTAATTAATAAAGACCTTTATTGCCAATTAATATACAGTATTATATTTCTATATAATCAATCTCAATCTCGATCCCGCTTATTTCGCCGATGCTCATTTCGTAGACAACACTTCACCGACATGTTTATTTCACCGACATTTATTTCACAATTTATTTCACCGACAAGGTAATTCTGGTCATTTTCAGGTTAGAATTAGAATTAAGGTTACCCTATAAAAAAAGAGTCAAAATTCTATTCAAATTTTGTTCAAATTATTATTTTAAAATAAATAATCATGTTCCGTAATAAAAATCTGAATAATACCTTTAAATTCCCTGAATATTTCCAATTTCCTGATATAATTTTTTTATTTTGCAAAAAATTATAATCAAGAAACTGGAAATATTCAGGAAATTAAAAAATTTTCAGGAAATCCTAAAGGTATTAATTATCCAGATTTTTATTATGGAAAATGCACATTTTTTTAGAATAATAATCTGAACAAAATCTGAATAGAATTTTGACTCTTTTTTTATAGGGATCTTGTACGTAAAATTTATTACGAAACGAATTTTCATAAAAACGGCCCTTTTAACTAACTTTGTGTTTCTAATTAGATACGTAGAAAATTGCGATATTTTTGTATTTTATTATAGGGTAAAAGTAAGTTAAAAGGCCGTTTTTTTGAAAAATTGCTTCCGAATTCACCTTTTGACAGTTACAAACCAATCAAACGATTAACCAATACTAAAACACCCGAATATGTCAACAAACGGTAAAAGTACTTTCTACGCTTAGAATGGTTGTTTTATTATTTTATTTGCCTTTTATCTTGTCTAGATACCAGAAAAGCACTTTTATTAGCTATAACAAATGCTTTGTTTATTACTTTTTCAACGTTGCTTAAGAACAAAAATTTTGTGTATCTGTCTAAAAAAAAAGGCCAAAAAAATCAAATCTGCTGATATGTTAGGCCAATAAAAAAATTTTAATATTATGTGAATCACCTCAAAATTACAATTCTACCAATACCAACACGTCTTTATAATAATTATGAAACTACTGTAACTGAGGATTGGAATCGAGATTTTCGAGCATGATAAATTTGATTTTTTTTAGCATTTACTTTATTAATAACGATAGCCCGGATCGTTAAATAGTTTTATTCATTTTAGGTATCTTCCGCATGTTTGAAACTATCATTATAAAAACCAAAATACATATTATATCTAATTAATTTTCTTATGACCCAATGTCTGATTTAAAAACTTATCGATCTGTGCCAATAAAATTTTTTTATTGTTATGGGCTATGACCTATGATAAATAATCCACACTTAGCTATGCACATTATATATATCTTAACGCATTGCAGTAGTGCATTGCTAATATTTGTTAAATTTTGCAAAATCGACATGTAAAATTCAAATCGATCGATCACAAGATCCCATTAATAAAAAATTTTTTTCCAGCAACTTTTATCACACCCTTTCGAATTGTCACAACAAATCGTTTACCAATTCAACACCTTAAACAGCATCCTAACTTACACTGTTCCAAGCTTGTATCTTTCAGGACATCTCCAAAAAATCACACAAACAAAATAGGAAAACGAAGTGATACATCCCTTTAATATGCCTATACCAATATCAAGATGTCGTGATGAACTTGTAAAATAAGAACGACGTTATTTCTGGGTCAATTGTACCGATGGATCCCTGAAGTAAAAAGAGTGATGTGGATTTTTGTACCTAAATGTAGTTTGAGAGAAATGTTTCAAATTAATATAAAATACTCATTGGATGATGAAAGATGCAACACTCCTAGCAAATGTAATGAGAATGGATGTTAAAAAGGGTGAACTCAAAGCGTTTATCCATTATCAAAGTCTGCGAAAGAAGGTTATGATACAGATCAATATGACTTTGGACTATGCTATCAAGATGGTGTGGGCATGGCCAAGGATGAAAAGATTTGAAATCGGCTGGAGATGAATATTCTCGTGAGGAAAGACATCTTGAAAGTCTTGAAATTACCGTCGAAAGGATAAAAGTGAGTTGAATGCTGTGAGCTGGAAAGAATAAAGAAAACGAAGTTGTAGAGAGAACTGAAATTGATTTTGTTGAAGGATTATGCTTAAAAAAGGGTGGAATGTTTGCGCATTGGTGGAGAATCGGTTGTGGAAAATATTTTATGGTAATACGAGGTTAGGAAGACAATCTGAAAGAGCGATGTTACAAATTGGGAAAAGCGAAAGTAAAATTTTGTAATCCATTACAAATCATCGCTGCTAATTCAGCATCAAAATTGTAACCATCAAAAGGTCTTCGACCGGTTAATATTTCTATCATAATAATTCCAAAACTGTAAATATCAGCGGATTGAGTGAGTTGTTCGCCTTTCAAGACTTCAGGTGTTAAATAAGGCAAAACACCATAAATATGACATCCAGTTTTTTATCAAGCGATATTGATGAACCTAAATCAAATATATGCTTTATATCGTTCTTTTAGTAAAATATTACCAGAGTGTAAATTTCGATGTATAAAGTTTTTAGAATGAATATTTGATAGGTCATTGATAATATCACATAATATTTCTAGCTTTATTTTCCATTATAATTTAAATATATCTTTGAGATTATCACATAAAGATCCAAATCTTGCGTAATTTAGCACTAAAATAAAGGGTGTTCTCAAACCTCAATTCCGATGTGATTAGCTAGTGATCGTAATAGTGCACAACTATAATTATATTTGCATAAAATTTTTGATAACAAATTGAATATGCAAATGATGATGTAATCAAACGTTATTCTCAATGCGATTAACTAGTAAACGTGACGGTGTTCATTTATTATAATCAAAATTGCAATTGATACTTGAGCGATTCATTATTTATCAAATGTTGTCGCCACTAGGTTTAGGTCTTCGTTGATATTTAAGAAATTATTGGCGAAATAGTAAAATTTGTTGCTGGCAAAAAGTGGTAAAATCCGTATTGTTTTTTGGGCTCTCTGGTATTTTTTTATTGCTCATAAAAACTTTTGGCGTAATAATAAAAAAATAATTCGTAGATGATGACAAAGTTAC